GCGATTATCATGACGCATAGCCTTATCGAAGTAGTCACTATCGTACAGCTACTACTACTGCTGCTACTTCCATGATGCAGCGACCCTAGCTGGATCATGACTTTGTTACCATTATTGTAATCGAATACAATTTGTATAACAAAATCCAATTTTTAATAATGTTTCTTTCAACTCTTTTTACGATCACAAAAGATATGAGCGATTGTAAAAGATAAACTGCTGTAGTTACCCGGTAGCTACCCCAAGTAAGTAGTCACAACCGAGTTCTACGTATACACGTAGATAGATCTTCTTCGTCTTTGTATACGGAAGGGAAACCAGACCGGCTCGGAACAATAAGTAAAATTGACAATGGCATCACTGTTTGTCGGGGGGAAACGGGCACAATCGTCGGCCTTCTATCTCACCCTAACAAACTTCAATTTATTTCTGTTACAACGAGAATAATTGACGAAACGAGCCCCCTTTATTTGTAACTGGATCACAGAGTTTTGGCCCCGAAATTATTGTTTTGTTAACATAAATAACTTAGACGAACAGTTGATGTGTTTCCCAGGCCGTCTTCCGTATATCGAACACGCAAAACTTTTAAATTTTGTTGTTGTTTCATCCGAACACAGAATCATTTAGGAAGTCAAAACCAATGGAAAGAGCTGCAAGAAGTGAACAAAGATGGAGCTGTTGACTCTTGGCATATTTCGAAACAAAATTGCAACGACAAACATATTTTCTGTTTAATTTCATTGATGCATCGAAATTACCAGCTGAGGCGTGGAGTCCACGGTCTCCCGTGAACACAGGCTACTACTGTTAGCTTCGTTTGCACACGAAATATGAACTTGCTAAGTACAAGTATTTTTGCTTAGTTTGGCAAATGAAATAGAACCATCCGTAATTGGATGCAGCCACTACGAGATTCGAACCCTCTCGTAGGTCCCATTTTGTTCTAGGCAATAGTACCTAACACATGCTGATCAACGACTTCATTTCATTCATTGTTGTATTTCAAACGAAACTTTCAAAATCTTGTAAAACGTAATTTCTGTCAGTAGGACGTATTTTAAGTTCGCACGGTTTTTTTTTTCCACAGGAGAAAATCGTCGGATCCCCACCTGCCGTGCAGGTGCCGTATGTGGGAGTCGATCCTCACTAAAAACTCCTGCCGCTCACAGCCGGCGCCCTACCCTGGACCGGGCGAGAACCCAGTCGGAGCTATTGAGGGGGACAGGGTTTACGCAGAGCATATTACATCCAAGTTCTCACGGGTAGGTTAATTTCTTACTCATTTTTGCAGCAGACAAGTCATTTTTTCAAATTCGTTTTTTTTTTTAGTAAGAAAGGATTACTGGTGGCCCGGTGGCCTTTCCAGTTTTACCAAGATAGGCGGGCGAGTGCGGTCTCGGCCAGGAGGGGTGGGATTCGCCAGCAGCTGCCCGAGCGCCTCCGAAGGAGACCTAACGGCTCAAGGGCAGATGCAAATGCATTTACTACCGAATTGGGATTGAGTTTTTCAAATTCTCCAACCCGTAAAGTCATATGAAAGTTAGAAGACCTTAGAAATTGTGCACTGTCTGGCTACTTCCCTGTCCGTTACAGCAAATTCACAGCTTATTTTCTTAAGTACTCACTTTTACTTAATTATAAGATCAATTTCTTATGTTAAATACTGGTGCCATATCTTGTTGCAAGTCGCCACTGATGATTTCTAATATTCTGCCTTGAAGCCACGATGCACTTTGATTTGAAGAGAAGGATAGCCGACTGATGTAATTGAGACAATAATCAATTGTCTCGTATTCGTATTGATGCTGTGATTATTTAAAATCGGATGGGCTGCGAATTCGTCTGACAAAAAGCTAGGTTTATTGTACAAAAACTCCCGATTCCAACTTTATTGTGTTGTTCAAATTTGTTTAACCTCATAAACGGTAAATTTTCGGTAGGCAGCGGCTTGGCTCTGCCCCTGGCATTGCTGATGTCCATGGGCGACGGTAACCACTCACCATCAGGTGGGCCGTATGCTCGTCTGCCTACAAGGGCAACAAAAAAAAAAAACGATTAAGATTGTTTAATGTACACGGCCAGGGTTATCTTCTCGAGGGATTGTTTCGACGAAGGCGTGATCTTGTAACTACCAGTTTAGATCAGTTCAAAAGTCTTAAAATAGTCTTTGTATTTCTGTAGAGGGGAATTTGGTTGGCTTGCATTTATGTAAAGGGGAATTTGGTTCGATCGCATGTCTCGTGATGATTACGTTCTCAATTTACTTAACATCCGCATTATGGAAAAATAACAAAACATAATCCATTAAATTTGCATTTATACGATAACAGGAGTTAGTGAGTTTATAATATACATCACGGACTACATAATTCATGAGATTAATTCATTTAGTTTTAGCTTGAAAGTTGTCTTTAGTGAAATCGCGCTAATCAAATAATCTGTTTTTTTTTTTTTTTAATATTATTATCGGAATAGATATTGAAAAGATACTTTATGTTGATTTTTATGATTTTCTAATACTTTATTTAGTACCAACTTACTCACAGATGGCTGTACAATTTGTGTAGTTCCCAAATTAAATGTTTATCTCGATAACTCTTGGCGTTCGATATTGGGGCTTTTAATCTGTCCCTGAATGTATAGTCCACGCAATAATTTACCGTGACATCTGTTAAGCTATTTAAGGGGGGCCTACACGCTCATTGAAACCACATTGAACCCCACGTTTTCGTCCATTACCAACGAAGAGGGTTCAGGGAACGTTTCTTCACACACATTACATAAATCGGAGACTTTGAACAGTTGTGAATCTGTTTAGACATTGTCGAGATTGTTTCAAGAACTTTGAAACTGTTATCTTTATTAGGCGTCAGCCTTTGAGATGTGGTGCTGGGGAAAGATGCTTTGTATTCCGTGAACAGAATATTGGATTAACGTTTCAATTTTGCGAGAACTCAAGATTTGCTCGCGGCCGTCATCCGAGTGTCTTCGCAGAGTCCTTGAATGATTCGGTCACATTGCAAGGAACGATGGAAGTAAATGCGAGAGGCTCATCGTGATCTGTAAAGTGGACGGGAAAAGGCCTCGGGTCGCAGCCCAATATGTTGGTCCGACCAGACATCGCTCTTGATTCCACAGTTCACAATGCCCTTCACACCGCCAGAGACAGACAGAGAAAGGTCGTACGAGAGAAAGTGATATAAGATTGTGGTCACATTCTCAGCATTGAGGAATACGGCGTAGGTAAGACNGCGAGAGGCTCATCGTGATCTGTAAAGTGGACGGGAAAAGGCCTCGGGTCGCAGCCCAATATGTTGGTCCGACCAGACATCGCTCTTGATTCCACAGTTCACAATGCCCTTCACACCGCCAGAGACAGACAGAGAAAGGTCGTACGAGAGAAAGTGATATAAGATTGTGGTCACATTCTCAGCATTGAGGAATACGGCGTAGGTAAGACCTTTTTGCCATTTTCGATAAGTACCCACATTTTATATTATTGACTGATTTATTAATAATATCTTTAGCAATCTCGGATCTTAAAGCTCCTAATTTCAAAAATAGAAAATGTCTACTCCATTTTGAAATGCCTTATTTTAATCTGCATATTTGGAAGCCCATAAAGGTAACAGGTCCCTATGTCGATTAATGATTACTAGGTACAATTTTTTTACTGGTATTCTGGTCTGTTACGGCGGGCAGCGGCTTGGCTCTGCCCCTGGCATTGCTGAGGTCCATGGACGACGGTAACCACAAAAAGTAATGATGAACGAAAAAATTAAACAAAATTTTCGTTAAAAAAATAGGCTTTTCTAGGGATACATTTATTTAATTTTTATTGCTTAAATGGGTGGGCGAGCTCACAGCCCACCTGGTGTTAAGTGGTAACTGGAGCCCATAGACATCTACAACGTAAATGCGCCACCCACCTTGAGATATAAGTTCTAAAGGTCTTAGTATAGTTACAACGGCTACCCCATTCATTCATTAGTATTTATAATATAATAGTAATCAATTCACTAGTATTTAAATTTAGCACCGAACTTTAGTGCCGTTTCACAACTGAAACGAATCAAGCAAGACAATCGGGCATTTCTTAATTTTAAATGTTACCTAAAAACACCGAACATTTTTTAATATTTTAAATCAATAAATGTAATAAATATATTAGGCTGAACCTCGTGATCTTGCCTACCAATGCGGAGATGCTGCAAAGGCCCTTTAAAGCTACCAGCGAATATGTAGGAGGAAAAAAGATGATTCAATGGTTCAAAACTAAGTCAATGCCTCAAATCCACGGACCCATCAAATCCTACAGCAAAATAAATGATATTGGACGACAATTAATGAGTTGTCAACAGTTTTAATTTTCAGATGAATGTTATGGTTTCATTTTTATAAATCTTTACCAAATATCGGCGTACATCTCTACTTTTATTTTATTCTATGACATTCTACTTTCGTTTGGAGACAAAAGATTTAATGCACTTAAACAAAGGAACTGTCATAAGAGAGATCACATTACTATTTAAATTGCTGCAATTTGTGTATGACTTCCTATGCACAATGCATTTACATCCCTATTCATCAAGATCTCGAGACTTTATTGACATCACAGAACTAATTAAAAAATATATATATTATTTTTAGATATAGCGAAATTTTGTCCAGGCGAGAAAGCAAGTGTTAAAATCAAGCTCCTACAGTACATACGTTGAAGCGAGAGAAATTAACGTTATTGTTTTTGCTGATTGACTATTCTGTGTTTTACTTTTTAGCCCTCGTAAATAAAGCTGATCACATTGGTGACAGCAGTATGTAGTAGTAAATGGAGTTTTTTTTTTAATATTTTTACGAATTGTTCAACGATCTTTCAATGTCTAAGTTCCTTCGGGTGATCATTAACGTATCATCGATTGATAAAGTCGTGTAAGTTTTGGGGCGATGTCTTAGAATACGGGTGTAAGATCTCAAGGAAATAAACATATTATACTTACGAAGCGTTTGCCTCAGGGATGATGTCATCTGCCACGACGTATATCATCGCTCCGGCCGCGAAAGCCAACGCGTACGGCAGAATGGGTCTAGCGGCGGCCACCGCGACCGCCCCCAGGACACCGAAAACCGGCTCCACCATCCCGGATAACTGACCGTACCTGGTGGAAAACTTGACGATTAAGACAGTTATAATTGCGATAGATTAATCCTTTTTCCTTCGAATTTTCTTTTACTTTAGTAAGTTTTGACTGCATTTAATGTTTTTTCTTCAAAAATGTAAAAAATAGTAAACATATAACGTAAATCTTGTAATATGTATATATATGTAATGTTTACTGTATGCACTAGGTTTGGGTCCCTAATCCTTCTTTCCTTTTGCGGGCCTACTGGAAGAGATTTCAACATGAAATAAGTAGTGCCCTTGTACTCTGTATCCTCATTGTCGTGTTTTTTCTAACAGCTGTGTGTATAAAATATATTAAATAAATAAATAAATAAATCGATATCTTAAAGAGTCGATGATTTTGATCGAATTTCGGTTTCCCCAAGCCTCGCAACACGATGTTATTCCTTCACCGTGGAAGTCAATCGTGAACATTTGTTGAGTACGTATTTCATGAAAAAAATTGGTACCCGCCTGGGATTCGAACACCGGTGCATCGCTCAACACGAATGCACCGGACGTCTTATCCTTTAGGCCACGATGACATCATTTCGCAATGAATGAAGGATTTTACGCGTGTGAAATACAAGGGAATAGTGAAAAAAATGATATGGACTTAAGAAGGAGAATTGGTTAAGGAAGATCCGACAAAAGCTATTCCGTATGCAACAGAATAAAACAGCTGTCGGAGCTAACAGTCATAATTCCGAACAGAGAAGCACTGAAGGAAGAAATTTAAAATTGGAACCTACGAATTACATTTAGGGTACTAGCAATATTTCTTTTTGAGATCGGTACCTATCACCGTACCCTTTAATTTTATTTTTAATTTAACCCAATCATCACAATTTTGTAGTCATTTTTATTATGGTTTATACTTGATTCTTTGTACGTATATTATACATCTGTATAGTATATTAGTCCATATATATTATGCGTATATTCACTATTCCACTCGTATTCAATAGAGAATGTGATAATTTCTAAAATAACAAAAAATATGACCAATTTCATAGAGACTAGTAGTTGCAACGTACTTATAGCACTCTCGTCGCTGAAGGTGTATTGTTAACACTTTCTAATTAGATAGATTAGTATTATTGCAAAGACAAATAATGACTCAGTAAAGTAATCGCGTATTCCTACGTGTTGTTCTTAACTAATGTGCAAAGACATATATTAACGGAATATGTCTGTAAATTTGCGGTAATCACTGGTGTTAGGGCTTACCATGAACTGTTAGGTACGATTATCCTGTCGATTACGAAAGAAAAGCTATCGTGCGTTCCGATATTAAAGATACGTCGTGTTTCAAGGTACCCTTTCAGGCTCTGGCTCCGATGCGGCAATTAAAAGATTGTTATAAGTCTTGTTCTTAGAACATTCTAGATTATAGAAATCCGAATAGAATCAAACTTGAAATTACTTGTTTGTTGGCAAGAGAACGTTGTGTGGTAACGTAAGCCGCACTTTCAGTCTGCTTGGTATCTATAGGTCGTTTGTTTAACATGTATAGTGCATGTTCTTGTTCTGGTATGGATATTTTATGTACAAAAAACACAGAGCCGATGTCGGTTTGAATATTTGGCATAGAGGTATGTTGTTAATTTTCACGTGTGCGGGAGTCGATATGGTGGTACAGCGGGGTGAGGCGTGCGGCGGTGCGATGCCGAAAGAGGCCGCTAACGAATTGTTTTGGTGAAAGTGCGGGCCGGTGCCGCGACCACATTCCGACGAACTGGTCGAGGAGCCGGCGCTGTGGGAAACGCCGTCACAGGGCCACCCCACACGACGACTAGCCCATATCTGACACCCGCTCGACTCGACCACCGAACCACCGATGTCTTCGACTCTTGTGTCGCATACTTACCTCTGATAACTACCTACCCTAAGGACAGTTCGTTTTAAGATCAGTGATTACTGGCGAAGATAGGTAGATACAAGCTCATTGCCTACATGGTATCCACTATAATAACATGAATACCTTCTGAGTATACATTTAAAACCAGAACGTGATTGTCTGCAGAAATAGTGAGGCAGGGTGGCAGTTTCGATCTGTGTGAAGAGTACATCCAAATAAAATGTACGTGTAAGAAGTTTATTTATCGTGTTGTGTAGCATGGGATTTACGTAAGGTAAAATGATTTAGCGTGGCTAGTAAGTGGTACGTAAGAGGGAAACGAGTTTGATGGAGTTGGCGGGAGGCGCGGGGCGGGCGGCGAGGGCGGCAGGCGGGTGCGCGACGTGATGTTATGTTATCGCATGCATTATTCAGCGGGTGGCGAAAGCGGCAATTTGCGACAATATCCACTGATTCGCAGAACCGACGACTGTTGAGCTGCCGACAACGCATAAAACAGGATGCCACTCACTCAATAACCACCTCCAATTTGAATAAAAAGCTTTTGAGTAAATTGTTGTAGTTTTGCATGTTTTTTATTAATTTACATTATATAATTGTTCGGCGTGATTGAAAAGTGAATGGTTTAAAGAATTCTTTTGATATTGTTGCAATGACGGTTAAAAATGAGGTGCTTTAAGAATTGCACTTTCTAAATCTATAAATTTTAAGCAAATTTAACTTTAAATAAATACATTAAGACGCTTTTGTATTTAACGCCAGTACATTTTATGCGTTTTATGTTTGGTATTGTTAGTGATCAAAGTGAAATGTTCTGAAACTGCGAGCTTTGCATTAATCACTTAGATAGCTATAATGTTCATCTAAATTTAAACGAATATGAATGTACGTCATCAATCAAAAAGGAATCGATCGACCAGCGCATGAAGGCGGTCGGCATTCGGTATTCGCGAACATTAGGTGTGGCAACATGGCAATATGCGCACAAGAAACTGGCCTTGATTGCGCAAAACAGCACCATCAAAGCTACCGAAGCCTTCCGCGACGACTTCTTCGAGGCCCACGCGGCGACGGCGGCGGCCGCAGCGTACCTCTCTCGATTTAATTATTTAAGTGTGAAGGCCAATCGCCTGGGGCGGGCAGCGGGCGGTGCGCTGCGACTGGTCCGACGGGTGCGGTCCGGAAGAACGCGCAGACAGCGCGCCGCCGCTCGTACGCCGCGCACACCACCAGACTCTGGGGCACCACAGCGACACATCACATAACCGAACTCACGCAACGCTTCCATTTCGAAATAGACAACTCTCTCACAGTTAGCGATCACCATCTGGCTAAACACCGTCCGCTGCATCGAGCATCGGTTCTAGACACATCGACTCCGACGAGACCAACGCCATCGACGCTAACGGAGTCAGTCATCTCTCGCTCGAGACCTTTGCAAACTTAAACGCATCACTTAATCACTTCAACGTACACGCAATATCTTGAAACATAAATGAAATTACAATTTGAATGTTGATGAATGACTCAAAACAAAAATACGCAGCAGTCAGAGATGTATTTATCGGACGATTAGCTTATAGGTAATTTAATTGAATAGGTCATCTAACGAATGAGGCACCTACATGGTGCGTTCATAGGCGTGACTTTGCTACGTCACTATGAGTCATGTGTGGTGAGAAACATTGACTAGACGCATTGTCTACAACAATGGATAACCACTACTTGATATGATTGTATTTAGACGCACAAAAAAAAGTAGCCGTAGTCTTAAAATAATTATAATTATTGTTACTTGATTTTCTAAAGAACAACATATTTATTATGTGATGGGCTTTTAGTATGATGTGCTTAGGGGAGAATAAAAACTTAATAAGAAGAACACACAAAAGCACGAAACATCAATGAAAGGACTCGATTGATGAATACGAAATGACGAATTTAAAAACCACATTCAATTACACTACTTCCATAGAGAATTGGAGTCTATGTCCAAGCACTGCTTGGGTAGAACACTGTTAGCTCAAACGTATCTATTTATGTAAATACAGTGTGTAATTCGATGTCTAACTAGAGCGAAACATGTTCCTATGTAGAAACGACTAAGTAACATTAAGAATACACGAAATGTTGAACAACATTGAGAGAGAGAGAGCAAAGAACTCTAGATATTGTTGTAAATAGCTTTTCTGTTCAATAAAAAAAGCCAGCCAATACGACTAGAAGAATACATAAAAAAGACAGGGGCGCACTAGGTAAAGGTCGCTTTCAATCGGTCACTGTTAATGAATGGGAGATGCAGCTGCATTAGTGCTGGATTTCCTAAGCAAGATTGTTTTATCAGATTACTTCTAACTATATGACCACACGTCTATATTCAATATATCTTCTATGTTCTACAAAGTTAACGTTGTTGAAATGCTTCGACTTAGGTAATATTCTCCTTTCTGATATTGCTGATGATGATGATCAAAGACGACAGCAGGGTGTGCTTGTTTACCTTGAAAGGCAATGAATAAAAGTAAAAATCTCGAAGATTTCGGTGGGCTTTGTAAGCCTAACGGCTTATGGGTGATTTCAATAACGGTTCTTCACTGGTGGTAGGGCCTCTTGTGAGTCCGTACAGGTAGGTACCACCACCCTGCCTATTTCTGCCGTGAAGCAGTGATGCGTGTCGGTTTGAAGGGCGGGGCAGCCGTTGTAACCTTAGAACTTATATCTCAAGGTGGGTGGCGCATTTACGTTGTAGATGTATATGGGCTCCAGTAACCACCTAAGACCATGTGGGCTGTGAACTCGTCCACCCATCAAAGCAATAAAAATAAAATAAAAATAGTTGTAAATATCTAGTTGTAAAATGCAACTTTTTATTCCCCCTTTCAATGACATTCAGCACTTTACAAATCGTAATCCGTGGTGAAATGGTCTCTGATATGAGTACCGAAATGGGTATGCGAAAGAACAGTTTCCGGTTGCTGATTGGACGACTATATCATGATCTTGATGGCATTGATAGTGCCGATAGCAAAGTGTTGGCGACATATTTACACACCACAGAAAAATCAGAGGATAATGTCACCGTTGACTCAAATCTACAACATTATTTTATTACTTTATAACATTTTATTGTATTATTGATCCACCTAATATTGGAAATAAGAATCTGCACTCGCTGCTTTACTGATAAATTTAAACCTTAAATGGCTGAAGAACTAATGTCGTAAAGCCTGAAAACTGGAAAAGCCACTTGCGAATTGAAAATTACTGTAATCATCATTCACAAACAAGAAGTCTACGTATGTAGACGTACGTTGTGATCGGTATATCTCGTAAAAAAACCTTTCCGCGTACATGGACTTATAATCTACGTTAATTCCATCAAAATTTATCTGCTTTGCTTAGCTTTGATAGTACTTTTAATCAAACTTCATTTTCGACGACTTCAGACCCGAGATATCCAACCTCTACTCAAATTCGTGAATTTTAATAAACTTATGGATTTGGGTACATTTTAAATTTTAGTTGAGATTTGCCGGTTCTACCGCCCTTCAGGTTAAAAAAAAAACGAAATAGAGAATATATCCATCCATGCAGAATCGCAAGGGGACACTCCATTTTTTTAGATATTTTTTTGGTTTCATCATTACATATGATTTAATTTTTTACGTTGCTAGCGAATTTGCGATCTTTGCGTAGCAAAAGGATTTGGCCTTCGGTATTGCTGAATTGTTCGATGATACAATGATACCAAGCATCTTAACCGTTAGCATCTTATAAACGGTTTACAACTACAACAAGGCTAGTTATTCGTACCTACTTTTTATATTTGAATTTGAATCGGAAAAAACAAAATTACCCCTTATTTAACGTCGTCTATTTGCTGCTGTATTTGGGAAAAGGCCCGAATGATACAGTTTGGGCCGGGGTTTTAGTTACAATGTAATTTTTAATTTTAGTAATGTCCTGTGCGAATTTTAATTAGCGGACTGCGCGAGGTCCACTAAGATGACCCATGTTTTTTCAGTGAGACCAGTGTCGAGTTCGGGCGTTTCATTCTTCGGTAACGCAATAAAGCCAGACTGCATTTTCTGACTTAGACTCTTTCAACGGTTGCCAATATGAAATTGGGGTCCCTGAAACACTAAGACTGAAATAGGTAACTTTCCACTAGGTTCCGACTCGCTATCGTAAGGTTAGTGTAGGAAGAGAATATCTCTCTTACGCTCCGCTGCCTCCTAAGATAAGATGGAGGAACTTCGTCGTCGACCTCATTCCGATACAATGCAGACACTTACCAAAGCAACCGAGCCCAGTAAGCAGTTGCAAATTTTGTGGGTCTCATTTTTAATTACTGTGTTATTCCACCATCATCAAAATCATTCGTGAACACACGATATGTCCGTATTTCTTTTGATAAAATTGATTCGAATCTTGGTATAGTCGCATCGCTTTATGAGTACTATGATAATGTTATTCTTAAAATCGGAGCCGTTTAAACCATAGCTCGCGTCCCATACTTTCAAAGTCAACAAAAAACGTATATAAATAACGTGTCTAATCAAGAGAACACTGAATTTTTGAAATTTATTATAATAGCCATTATAACAAAGCAATTGAATTTTAGCACATGCTTTATGATGTTTGACGACGGTTCGACGTCTTTGGGTTTTGGTAACACCTTATAACCAGATGGTTCATAGGCTTGCCCGCCCAAAAACAAATACAATAAAGTAATATTTATTACTTTATTATTATTATACAAAACCATTAAATTTGTGCAAAAACTTGCAATTGCTAATGTAATTGGTAAACTGAGATACCATTTATTAGGTACGTAAATTGACGAGCGCGGATTTGCCGACTTCAATTTTACAAAATCTTTACTTTGAATTTAAAAACTCATAGTCCTTTTATGGCAGCGGTCGGGGAACTTTTTTAATTGTTACCCCAAAATATTTTTGTGTAAGTTGACATTACCTCATGGCGAAGAACAAAAAAAAAAACGAAATCGTTTCTTTTTAGTATCTTTCATATTATAGCCTCCATGATAATTTTGAAAAGAAAACAATAACAAAAAAATTAACGATTCTAAAGAAGTTTCACTTCAATATATACTTTTTACTCACAAAAGTTTCATTTTTACCCCCCAAAATTTCATTTTACCCCATTTGGGGTAATATCCCGGTTCCCCGACCGCTGATTTATGGTGTTGCAATAGTAGGAGTTATTTCCGTCGTGCATATTTTCTCATGTAAAGGGAAAGACAAGTAGTTGGGTTAGAACGCAGGGCGTTCGGTGAGTGCTCCCCTTCACCTCGGAGTTTTTATTCGAACGCATTCTTTTGTTTTTCATTTCACTAAGACCATTAAAAAACCGATATACATTAATCAAATAGAGGGCAATATTAAGTCTATCGCTGAATAAATGGACGCGCCCTAACGAAGGTGGATTTCATGTTCATGTTTGAATTATGACAAAATATACAAATTTCATTCTAAAACTTTACTTAAAATTCTTCTAAGATTTGTATACTTTAGATGATTTATATGAAATCTAGAATGTTTGAACGACATTTCCATAAACGGTAAGTCAGTTCATTAGATCCGCGCGCTACGCCGCTGGCGCCAAGTCTAGCCTACAGTTCCCGGAACAGCAAGGAATGCGACCGTTTGCGAATTTTACTTACTCGGTACCATTGATATAATATTCACGTTCCGTTCGCTTAGGATATAAAGTATTTAATTATTCACATTTTGAAAAAAATTTTTATTGCTTAGATGGGTGGACGAGCTCGCAGCCCACCTGATGCTAAGTGGTTACTGGAGCCCATAGACATCCACAACGTAAATGCGCCACCCACCTTGAGATATAATTTCTAAGGTCTCAGTATAGTTACAACGGCTGCCCCACCCTTCAAACCGAAACGCATTACTGCTTCACGGCAGAAATAGGCGGAGTGGTGGTACCTACCCGTGCGGACTCACAAGAGGTCCTACCACCAGTGTTTGTAAGTTTGCATACGATTTTCGTCGTTGTTTTGATGTTTTAATCAGAATACGTTTCTTTGTCTTTAGAACGCTAAGGGCGATATAATATATTGATTTGTAGAAATATTATGGTATCTGCATATCGGAGCGATTCGGTTCGGTAACATTCGTTAAATGAATTAGCCTGCAGAGGAATGGGGTCGGTCAGTCTGGGTACGTTGGCATCCGGCCTAACGACGAGCGCGGGCGCATTCTCTAGTAGCGCGAGCCACGATCTGCTCACAGTTTATGGCATTTAGAGAATCGCAATTCCTTTTGTAAAGTTTCGTGAACAGCACGCAATTTCCATATTTACAACATTCAAACGTATGAGTTGTTCTAAAAAATATATTTTTATATACATACTAGTTGACCCGGCAGACTTCGTAGTGCCTCAATCGATAAATAAAAGACCTAAACTTTTGTATAAAATAAACTTAAAACAAACAAAAGGAATCCGTCCAATGGGGGACACATCAAAGGAAAAACAAAATTGTTATTTTTATTTAATCTGAGCATTTTCATATTTATCTACCTTTTAAACCTTCTCTGGACTTCCACAAATAATTCAAGACAAAAATTAACTAAATCGGTCCAGTCGTTCTCGAGTTTTAGCGAGACTAACGAACAGCAATTCATTTATATATATAGCTAGATAGATAGATAGATTTTACGAAGATTAACCTCTCGACGAGCGATCGAATCTCGTATTTGTCAAAATTACAAACCACATTTGGATTCGATAATGAAAACACGATTATTTTAATAATTATTATAGCAATAAATTTACAGACTGATTAAAGACTAGACCATGTCGAAAGCATAGTATAAGGAAACTGTGACATAATATCACAGTGAAATAAATTCATACAAACGGTAAATAATTAGCCTCAGAATGTAATTGTTCTGAACGTTTGCGAATACCGATACACACGTACGGGTCGGCAATAACGTTAATTTGAAAGTACTTCAAACTATTTGCGGAACACAATCATGAAGATTACGAGAGAATCGAATGTTAATTAACATGCGTGAAGCCTAAACGAACGGTTTACACGTCAAAACCGCAAGTGATACATTTTTGCACGGCTCGCGTTATGTGCGAAAAATGCTTTTAGTTTATTACTCAAATATAATGTTGCTAATGCTGTCGGTATGTGTAGGTACGTTACTATAACAAATAATAAATTTCGCAAGTGTACGAGATATCTAAACATAATTATATTTAATGAGAATAAAAATGATAGTATTTATGTTCATTTTACATGAACACAATGAAATTTTTTAGAAATTAATCCATTTATTATCTTCAAATGTAATCTCTTGCGTGTATATAGCGTTAATTATCGCTACATTTTGTCGTCTTATAGTATATCGTAGACAAAAGAAAACGAATCAAAATTCGCGTAATCACTAGCAGGCAAGGGCTCGTCCACTACCATGCCTGATTCTGTCGAAAAATAGTCATGCGTTGCGGCATCAAAGTGAAACGACTTAGAAAACATTGAAGATTTCGATCTCATGTCTCAAGACGGGTTGTGGTAGTGACTTTGTGAGGTCTACGGGCTCCAGTAATGACTCAAAACCAGATGGACTGGGAGTTCGTTTACTTAACTATGAAATAAAAGCATAAAATTGACTTTTTCTTTTTGAAAATCCAAGCGTTTAAATGTAAGGTACAGACAGGTATGAAAGACTTACCAAAACGCTCTCCATACAGAAAAGCCGGCAGCTTGCAGAGGCAAACTTACTGCTAGCCCCTCGGGAAAGTTCTGTATCCCGATGCCCAAAGCCAAGTTCCTGTTAACAAAATATGATAAGATTTTAATGATTAATTTAATTGCCCAAGTATGGTTTTAAAAGGTAGGGTGATACCTGTGCAATTGAAACTTCAATCAGGCCAATCAGGTTAGCGAGCGCATCCTTCTGTGTAGCCTCTCAATGCCAATCAATTACTGCAGCAGAACCTAGTCTTGTCTACTAAAATCAATTTATTTCTCTATTAGCTCGAACAGAATACCTACGCTATCCGCGGCTTTCAACCGTGCGATTTTTCGTACATAAGCCGATTTAATACGTCCGAACATCATTAATATCATATCAGTAATCGTGGCCTAAAGGATAAGACGTCCGGTGCATTCGTATGTAGCGATGCACCGGTGTTCGAATCCCGCAGGCGGGTACAAATTTTTCTAATGAAATACGTACTTAAGAAATGGTCACGATTGACTTCCACGGTGAAGGAATAATATCGTGTAATAAAAATGAAACCCGCAAAATTATAATTTGCGTAATTACTGGTGGAAGGACCTCTTGTGCGTCTGCACGGGTAGGTATCACCACCCTGCCTATTGCTGCCGTGAAGCAGTAATGCGTTTCGGTTTGAAGGGTGGGGCAGCCGTTGTAACTATACTGAGACCTTAGAACTTATATCTCAAAGTGGGTGGCGCATTCACGTTTGTAGATGTCTATGGGCTCCAGTAACCACTTAACCACCAGGTGGGCTGTGAACTAGTCCACCCATTTAAGCATTAAAAAAAAAACATTTGATTTACATCGACGGAATCCCTTTGTATGCGCCTGAAGTTTAATCGTATGATATTACAATACTATCCGATCCCAGTTGAGTTTGGATTCAATCAATGTCCACTGAGTACATCGAAACAACAAAAATGACAATAACAGCGCCGAGTATCTTGAATAACGAGTTGTCCCCGTTGATAATCACAAATAAAAAACACGATGACCGTTTGTAACTAATCTTTGGACTGATTTTAATTACGCCGATGAGTTTCTTGATGTACCTACTCACGAGTGACATCACGAGAGTTTCAAGACGTGACATCATCGACTAAAGGCACAAAGACATCGACTGCCGAAACTGTGTTTTAACACGAGCTTGTTAACTCCGATTTCGAGCAAATTCCTGTTGTGGATTCGTCAGAAGAGCTTTTTTTTTTGTAAGATCTACCGACCTAACAATCTACATGTATACCTACTGTTATTTAAGTGGGTTTTTCATGAAAAAAAAAGTCGTTTTCAGGGCTAGCATGACCCTTAATAGAATCTACGAACTTCTGTGGTCTGATAAGGTATGTTTTTTAATGTAAATGATCAGATGAGCTTTTCTTTTTTATTGCTTAGATGGGTGGACGAGCTCACAGCCCACCTGGGGTTAAGTAGTTACTGGAGCCCATAGACATCTACAACGTAAATGTGCCACCCACCTTGAGATATAAGTTCTAAGGTCTCAGTATAGTTACAACGGCTGCCCCACCCTTCCAACCGAAACGCATTACTGCTTCACGGCAGAAATAGACAGGGTGGTGGTACCTACCCGTGCGGACTCACAAGAGGTCCTACCACCAGTAATAAGCTCTCAGCCCATTTTGTTTTAACGAATTGTAGAAGACTGTATGTCGTATATAATCCAAAGCCCATACAGGAAGACGATAACCAATTTGAACAAATTACAAATTTTTTTGTGGCCTTGTGAACAATCACTGCCCACCTTATTTCAAATAGTTACTGGAGCCTATAGACAACACAAAGAGTATTCCGCAATCAACCCACCTGTAGACATGAGGTTTAAATATCATTTGTATAGTAAAAAGGCTGTTCCATCCTTCAAATTAGAACGTATTACCGATTCGCGATAGAAAGACGCCCTCCCATCTTTTGTTTTTTTCTCATGATTTCGAAATGAGACATGGATTCGTACAACGTATGATGATCTCTCATCTGAATGATAATTTTCGTCAAAATAAAAAGAAAGCAAGAGAAAATGATTCAAACTTGTTTGTAAAATCTGAAAATAGATTTCGCAGATATCATGAATACAGGCAACGACTTATTCTTACTGTATTTTCCGGAGAGTTTTACGAGTTTTAGACGCAGACAATTCAGTTCGAAATCGTAACCTAAGAATAGTTCCGCTGTGTTATAATCACGTTTGAAGCTGATTTATCATTTGAATATCAAAATATATGCTATTAAAGTGTTGTATTCGGTTTTCGCGGATTTTTTTTATATATTTTTAGTATTTATAATTTATTTATTACGTAATAAAAACGCGAGGTTTAACCGTGAAAGCAATAATAAGGTCTGCGATTCGTGAAAACCGAAGAAAATAGTATTTTTAACTTAGATGGGTAGGCATAGGGCCTCACTGCTTAAAAGATGTTAACTTGAGACACTAAGTGGAAGCCTCAGATTAATGTATTAGAACTAGACAAGAAGGCGGTAGACCCTTGCTAAGCCAAACCCATGATTTCACAAGAAAAAGATAATACATATGTCCTAGTTTACATAATTATTATACATACTTTCTTATTATTAATTGTTTTGTTTTACATACTTACTGGTGGTAGGACTTCTTGTGAGTCGCGTAGGGGTAGGTACCACCACTCCGCCTATTTTCTGCCGTGAAGCAGTAATGCGTTTTGGTTTGAGAGGCGGGGCAGCCGTTGTAAATATACTTGAGACCTTAGAACTTATATCTCAAGGTGGGTGGCGCATTTACGTTGTAGATGTCTATGGGCTCCAGTAACCACTTAATATTAGGTGGGCTGTGAGCTCGTCCACCCAACTAAGCAATAAAACTAAAAACATTTTTTTTTATATTATATGTATCTATTGTAATTTAATTTTGATTTGAATGTATATTTGAATTGATAGATAACTGTTATCCGATAAATATTATAAATACATTGAATTGAATAATCATAGTCCTTCATGTTGAAATAGTTCAACTCGCACATTTCAATTTTCATTCCATCTTGACACATAGTAGCAAACATGAAAAGTCGGTATTTAAATGGCACATTGTGACATATACAAGTAGTAACGGATGTATAGTGGCATTGGCGCATTCCTCACAAAGACGGACTCCCCCCGCGCTGCACCTGCGACCCTCGCAACGGCCCGCTCTAGGAATGCGTCTAACTGTATAACGCACAGCCTCCGTCACCGTTAAACCGAACTGTTCCTACGGTGCATCCGCAGCACATACCGCTCCCAATGATACATTGTCTAAAACTATGGACTACACCCTATCGTTTGTTTGTTGGTGTTGTTGCACATTAAGTTCGACATTAAATCACTCTTGTAGTCTCGTTAAATGCTGTTTGCGAAGCTCAAACGATATTAAATTTGATAATGTTGATGCGGCTTGGCTCTGCCTCTGGCATTGCTAACGTCCATGAGCGACGGTGACCACTTAGCATCAGGTAGGCCGTATGCTCGTCTGCCTACAAAAGCAATTAAAAAAAAATGAATTTTTTTTCCTACCTAAGCTGATAAGGCTCGAGAGGCTATTTCAGCGTAACCTTAACTAGTAGGTGAGCTCACGGGGCTCAAACCGGAGTGATGCTAGCTCTGATCCGAGCAAGAGCAGTTCTTCGCAGAATCTATCACCGGATCGGAAACGCGACCCACTGAGAAGATCCGGCGAGAAACTCAGTGGGCTAATGTTGTGTAGGTGCCGTCATTCTGCTTATTCGTTCGAGTTTGAAGGGTGAGTGGCGACATTCACGTTACGATATCTATACGTTACCACTAAGATAAAGCCAGATGGGTTGCTCGATCACCCATTTATGCAATAAAAATTTGGTGCAATGCATTAGGAACGTAATTTGGTAAAGGAATGTAAATCGTATTCCGTGCGGCATAAAGCAATTTAATAATAAACCGGTCAAATGTGTAGGTACATCGGCTGTTGGTAATAGTGGTGCTCGACTCAATTGATCGGCGGTGGTTTGTCAGCGCATGCGGAGCGTCCGACCAGCTTTCACCGGGCCTCAGAGCCTCCGCGCCGCCATACATGTTTATTAAGTTAACCATTTTAACAGGAATTGCCCGACGCTTCCGTTTACGTCTTATTAGTACTTTTAGTTGTCGTTGCGCTTTGAAGTCCCGTTCTTGTCACACAGAACGAAACCTTTTCAATAATATTATTCAACAACAATTCGTCTTCTTCTCACATTAAAACTGTATAATCTCAACAATTATTAATTTTACAATAGAGTGTCTTAAAGGTTTAACATGTAATCTATATATATAAAAATGAATTGCTGTTCGTTAGTCTCGTTAAAACTCGAGAACGGTTGGACCGATTTGACTAACTTTGGTCTTGAATTATTTGTGGAAGTCCAGAGAAGGTTTAAAAGGTAAAGATAAATATGAAAATGCTCGGAATGAAATAAAAATAACAATTTTGTTTTTCCTTTGATGTGTCTCCCGTCGGACGGATTCCTTTTGTTTGTTTTAAGTTTATTTTCCACAAAAGTTTAGGTCTTTTATTTATCGATTAAGGCACTACGAAGTCTGCCGGGTTAGCTAGTATTTTTAATACTAATCATATTTGCAATATTTGAAAACATTAATTTTTTATTTTTTACCAGTTACATTATCTGTCTTTTAAAGTAAGTTTTATGCATTAATTTTTTTAATAGTAGTCAAAATATAGAGAAACTAAAAGAGACCAACTAAAACTAACTACGCTCTACTTAACAGTATTTATGAGAAAAATACTGGTTATACCAAATTTTTATGTTTACGCATATTAACTCAATTTCGAATATTTTTGGAAATTGTACACTTTTAATGCGAAAAGGTGAATTGTTCAAACCTGATTGTAATGTACAAAAAAATCATAGGTTTTATTTCGTTTTTATTCAGAATTCCAAGCTAACAAACCGCATAATTTAGCGGTTCATTTTCTTTTTTTTAACTGATTACATCCCAATTGAAAATAATGTTTTTCCGTTGTGCATCGATTTTCAGTACAAACTTCGGGAAGT